AAAAGAAAAACATGATTGGAAAAATACTGACTTAAACATCAGAGTTTCTCCCCGAGGACCAACCTCGGGATTTTGCAGGACCATTTGGAGAAGGATCAACTCGAAGTAGGAACTCAAGGATATTCAGCAACTACATTGGAGCCGTCTGTGGGAATCCGAACAAAAGTCATCACCAGAAGTTAAGATGGTACACACACGAGCAACCCAGCGCGAGAGTCCTCCCCGAGGCCAAGGAAGAGGCCAGCCCCCAATTGTCAACCCCGTGTCACAGAATGCACCAATTGCAGTCGCCCAACATCAGCAGGTGGAGGGAGTTGGGGAACATAATCCACAATATCCCAACGCCGTGGCAAACGACCCTGTAACTGTTCAACTCAGCGCCATGCAACAACAATTCGGGGTCTTCCAGCTAGTGCTCGCCCAGCTGTTAGCCAGAGATAACCCCGTTGACCCACTCATCCACTTGCTAAACCCAGCTCCTCCCGCGGCCCCCCAACCAGCCCAACAGCCTGTTAACTCCCCAGTCCGCAGCGTCGCCCCGACTGCTTCCCAAGCACAATCCCACATACCACCCCAGCCCCAAAACCCGCATCAACCAGCTGCCTCAGATGTCTCAAAGAGGCTAGACAACATAGAAAAGCTGTTAGCTGAGAACAAAAACCCACAGCCACAGACCCCACCTATATCAGCCTCCATCCCCACTCTTCTCAATACCAAAATTACCCAAGAGCCATATCCACCCGGTTTCAGGATGCCACAGTTCGAAACGTATGATGGCACTAAAGACCCTGATGACCACTTACATGCATTTTTCTCCATCATGCAGGCTCAAAACGCTTCAGACGCACTCATGTGCAAGATGTTCCCCTCCACATTACGCGGCAATGCCCGGACTTGGTATCACACCCTGCGTCCGAACTCGATTAATGCATATGCCGAGCTGGCCACCTCCTTTGCCACCAAATTCTCAAGCAGAAGGTTGATCAAAAAGACGACACCCGAGCTCATGCGGATAACACAAAGAGATGGTGAATCCTTGAAGAACTACATGAACAGGTTCAATGATGCCATGTTGGAGGCCAACGCCTTCGATGAAGCAGTGGGAATAACTGCCGTGATACAAGGCCTCAACCATGATCGGTTTCGAGATAACTTAATCAAGCACACCCCAACCACTTTTGACGAGGTCAATCAGAGATCCCTCAAGTTCATTAAGGCCGAGGAGTACGTCCTCTCCAAACCCCAACCCCCTAAAGAAGCCAGAACCCCCGCCTGGAGAGAAGAAGGCCAGAGCAGAAAGAAGTTCAAACCCACACAGAATCGAGGCCCAATGCCGGTTCCCAAGCTAGATAGGCCCGGCTCCAACGCCCCACAAACGCGGCCTAGGCCACCCTCATGGACCTCCTTCACAATACCGAGGTCGCAAATTCTCATGCAAATCAAGAATAAGATGGAGCTGAGGAGACCAGCCCCTCTATAGAGCCCAACAGCAAGCAGAGACCACACCAGATACTGTGACTTTCACCAAGATCACGGACATACCACGGAAGATTGCCACAGTTTGAAGTCCGAGCTGGAAAGTTTGGCCCGAAAAGGGATGTTGAATGAATACATTCAGAACAGAAGTTTACCAAAGTTTGTCAAAGAACAAGGACAGGCCCAGGCCTAGGGGTCCCGAGCAGCAAACAACAAAGATGGGGTGGGGTATCAACAAGCACCGCCACCTCTCCCAGCCCCATCCAGGGTCATCCACATGATAACTGGCGGGCCCGAAGCAGGAGGCACAAGCTCCAAACAGCAGAAGTTGTATGTGAGGGAGGTCAAGCACCACAATACAGCTCAGAAAAGAAAAATTGACGAGGAGGATTGGAAAAACCAGTCTGTGACATTCACTCCGGCTGACCTCGAGGGAGTCGTCACTCCCCATAGCGACCCATTGGTCACCTCAGTCATCATTAACAACTGCGAGGTCCAGCGAGCGCTCATTGACATCGGCAGTGCTCCAGATATAATGTATTACCATTGCTTTGAGAGCCTCGGACTCGACCCTGCCCTCCTGCAAAAGTATGACGGGCCCATCTACGGGTTCAACAATCAGTCGGTACCCGTGGAAGGAGTGCT